CCTTGCAGCCCAACACTGAACCAAACATAAGAAATGAATCACATTTTCATGCTTTTAAAACAGAAGCAACAACGATGAAATTAGCATCGTAGCGCAACTTATAACCCTAGTTGTAACTAAATCTATTGAGGCTGCGACTAATGATTATTTTCACTCAGCTAATCTGCCAATATTTTTATTCTGATTGATAAATTAAAACATCAGCGTGTCCATGAAATGCCACCAGGAGGTTTACAGTGAAGTCTAAAGCAGCATTTTCTCTGTTAGATGTCTAAACTACTATAATTTAGTTTCCTCTCATAAAAAGCTAATTAAAAAGATCTGGCGCAGTAACATCTGGCATTTTTGCTTGAAATTGATTTTAAGTATTTATCAGTTATCAAATCAGCTGCAGAATAATTTTAATATCAGATTGATGACTCAGTTAATTGTCAATTAAATGAGTTAATTGACAATTAACTGAGAGTCTACGAAGCACAGGAAGGTCACAGAGTGAGAACTTTTTTTCCGTCTGGACTCTTCCCATCCATCTATCCAGAGTCTGTGCACAGTGTTGGAGGTCAGACTTCCCTCTGACCAGAAACATTTTCCAGCTAAACCTGAGGGATCCCAAAGTTTTTCCAGGCCAGATGAGATCTATAATCTCTTCAGTGAGTTCCAGGTCCACCCTGGGGTCTGTAAAACCTTCACCCAGACACCTGAACCACCTCAGCTGATTCCTTTCAACATGAAGGAGGCTCCTTCTTCTGATCCATATCAACGCCTAGAGTGTTGTTCCAGTGATAACGTATGGCCAGTTATGGACAAAGCTGCAGATCCTTTGAAAAACTAACATGAATCGACTGATCTCAGGCGGTGTGGAGCCTCTGCTGAGCTCTGTCTGTCTGGCTGGAACCGGTGAAGCTGTGGCTGGATGTGATGATTGTGTATTCGTGGTTCGGTCTATGCTGCCGATACTGATAATATTTGAACGTGCGGTGCTTCTATGACCGACATCTTCCCAACACACCACACAAGATTAGGAACTTCAACGCAATACACAGCGACCAAAACCACCCCTGCACACATACAAGCAAACAGTCTGTCTCAGCAGCAGACAGTCAGAGAACTGGATGGTTTCCTTTCTATATGTAATGGTGCCCACTAAGCTACCAGGGACGAGGGTGACTCTCACATAAGCGACAACATAACACATGACACTACGTGATGCTGAGTCCGTCTCTGTGCGTCAGAGGTGAGGCACCGTTATTGTGAGGCAACACAAAAGTGTTGTGGGTGTCGGCAGCACCGTTCTGGAAAAACACGTTCCCCCACCCTGACCTTTCCGCTCTAAATATGAAGCTATTGTCGTATAATATGCAGCTTCAATCTTTTAAGATTAATTTAAGTGGATGAGGCCTTAACGAGCTGCTTACCAGACGGTCCTCTGATGGAAAGATTTGGCTTCATGCTGAATAATTAAAAAGCCAAAGCTGTCCGGGTGCAGAGGTGTGCTTCTCATAGGAATCAGCACCCTGATCCACACGATGAATTATTCGTGCAGAGTGGAAGCGGGAACTTTTCTGCATTTTATATAACACTGAGCTGTTCTGCGCCTCGGCGCTGGTTTAATTCAGCTGTCCCTCTGACTCCTGATTTATGTTTATTAACGTGAGATGGAGCTGAAACACAGCCGCAGAACGCTGCTGCTTTGTGTGCGTTTATTGTTGCTGAATGTGAACTACTCTGGATGCTTGGTGAAGAATTTATGGCCTCATATTCCTCTATCGATCTAAAACTACAGGCCACCTTCTTCCATATTTCTCTCCAAGTCTCACCAAAGACTGAATGGAGCTATTAAAACAAAGGCTTAAATACTTGGCTTCTCAAAAAAGTAATTAGAGTAGGGGAAATGTACCTTAATTATCTAAGTCAGGGGTGTCAAACTGCGGTCCTCGAGGGCCGCAATCCTGCATGTTTTAGATGTTTCCCTCTTCCAACACACCTGATCCAAATGATCAGCTCATCATCAAGCTCTGCAGAAGTCTGATAACGATCCTGATCATTTGAATCAGGTGTGTTGGAAGAAGGAAACATCTAAAACATGCAGGATTGCGGCCCTCGAGGACCGGATGTCGACACCCCTGATCTAAGTTGTTTTATGAGGCTGCAGGTAAATGTGTGTCATTGTTATTCTTGCTGGCCACGCCCCCCTCCCAGGCTTTTATGTGAGAATTCATAGTAAAGTCAAACAAAAATGCCGTATAAAGAGGTCAGTACCCTTGTGAGAGCTGATGCTGCAGGACATCTGAGTGTTCAGATCCAGACAGTCCTGATCTTTGTCTGTAGAGAAGCACAGATCCTCCTGGGGTCCTGAATGCCTCGTGAGGGGAGGAGCGTTCCTGCGCGGCTCGCTTTCCGATGATCGGTGTTTCCTCCTTTCTCCTCCTTCTCCTTTCCCGCCTCCCTCCTGCGACTTGGAGCCTTCGCTGAACGGGTTGTGGACAGAGTTCCAGTGAATCAGCTCCTTCTTTGGCTGAGTTAAAGGTAAAGAGCCCGTGTTAGCGTCGAGTCCCAGTCTACTGCTGCTGGCAGAACCGCCACCGCCGCCGCCGCTGCTGCTGTGTGGAGGGATTATTCCAGCTGCTGCAGCCAGCGACGACTGGTGCGTCGGGCTGCCAATCATCGTGATCGCAAACGGGTCGTCGGAAGAAACAGGAGGTGGGAGGCTGCGGTCTCGTTTCCTGTCTCTTTCTTTACGATTGGAGGAGGATGACGAAGAGGAAGAGGAAGGCGTTGGGAGTGTCTTGGTGTCGGCGAGGGCGACGGAGAACGGGTCCCCTCGCACCTCCATGGCCCTGCCCTCCTGGGCGGGGCGAGGCGGCGGGCGCGCCCAGGCGTCGGACAGGTTGATTGCCTCCTGGGTGACAGTCCTCTCAAAGGCGGCGAGGAAGGGGTCCTCAGGTGGGATGTGTTTGCAGTTCCACACCGATGACTCCATCTCGGGCGGGGGCAGGGACTGAGAGAAAGCAGGGAACCGCATCGACGCGGGGTCCATCTCTGGGGGGACACGTGAGGGCCGCGAAGAGGCGACAGACCAGACGCTGGCGGGGTCGTCCTGCTGGTGAGGGCTGCGTCCAGGTGAGGGGTCACGGAAAGCTGAGAGGAAAGGGTCCACCGGTCGCCCCAGTGTTTGTGTCTGTTCTTTACTCTGTGGCATCGGAGGCCACGCAGCCCAGCCCACCGGCTCAGGAGAGGGACCAAGGGGCTGATGGGAAGGTGAGTCCAGGCCAGAGTCTTCAACGTTCTCTGGAGAGGACGAGTCGGACGAGAAGGCAGCATCTGACAGACACAGTAAACACATGACAGAACATCAGCAGTAACTCTGGTTATCACTGAGAGAGGGAAACTGAAAACCTATGAAGATGGAATTAGACGTTGCTGATCTGCAGCGGTACATCAGAATCAGAATCAGATTTACTGCCAGGTACAGTTCACACAATACGAGAAATTTGTTCTGGTGGGTTCGTGCACCAACACACTGTGACAGACATCCTCAGCGCCATCTTGTAATTTAAGGACAAACAAAAACAAAGCAACAACAACAACACAAAATCTAAAATATACATATATGGCCCAAATATAAGGCATTCTGTTTTCCTGGATATTAGATGTGGAAAAGTGAAGGTTTCATTGTACTCGAGGACTAGACAATAGCGTCTTCACAAAAAGCTGCAGTCTAACACGAATCTGCCTCCACGTCTACGACCATCAAGCTCCTGCCTTCAAAATCTAACATCCCAATTTGTGGATTTCTGTGCAGAGCTCACGTCCTCCGGTCATCACCGTGAGGTTCAGAGGGACGAGACTGGCTCTGAAATATCTGATCAGCTTTGAGATGAGAGGATTTAACAGATCAGAGGCTGTTCCATGAATGCTTGACTTAAGTGAGCGCAGTTCTTTTTTTTTTTTTTTTTCAAAAACTAGACTTAACAGCATCTTTCCATAACATTCAACAGGTTTCACAAACAGATGAGGGGGCTCATCTTTTCTTTAAGGCAAAGTTTTCTGTTTTGCTGCATGGGGGAACGTATCCTCTTATTTTACAAAATCCTAACTTAGTAAAACATTTTTAATACTGAATTAAGAAATTCAGTAAAATTAATAAATACCCCAATGTTGTTCTCTTACTGTCCATCTGCTAACGTCTACATGAAAATGCTGATATGCTCGGTTGAGTCAGCATCCAGTGCTGCTGTGCTCTCAATGATTGGTGCACCGAGGATCTCACTTGTCAGGCTAAGTACAGGCAGAGGTTCTGTTGGCAGCACTTGGCCTGAAAAGGATTCTTGCAGGCAAACGTCTTTACAGGCATTTGAGTTAAAACATAATTTAAATAGGTTAAATTACAGTTAAAATAGTCCAATAAAGACATTAAAACATACGTCAAAAATAAGAGCATAGTTCTCTGTTACATGTTAATCAACTTTTTTATCACAATTTGTTTATTTATTTAAATGGTTTTTACTTCATTGCATTCGCTGCAAATAAAAAGTGTTTCTACGTGACTCTTACATGACTTTATTTTTCTTTTTCTTTTTGTGCTCATTGCACAACTCTGACAACACGATGACTGGAGGCGACACGAGTGCCTCTGGGCAGCAGAGGAACCACATATTTAGGCATGCACAAACAACGACGTACTCGCTCGTCTGGTAACCGTTCTCAGTTTTTGTGAATGTGGATGTAATGGGTGGTAACTTGTGTGTCACTGTACCTCGTTCAAGTTTTCATTTATACTTGCTCTAAAGGTTTTATGTAAGTAAATAAATAAATAGACAATCAGCTGTCGTTAAACCATCCTATGATTAAGGTCTTACATTTGTGTCAGTACAGTGTTAATAACAACACAAAGAAAAGAAATACGCTCCAAAATAATCTACGAAATATATTTAACAAAGCTTCTCTTACATTCAGAAGCACCAAACGCGCTCTGCTCCCTCAGCTGCTCCCGACAGTCGAAGCTTTTGGACTTGAAGGCCGATTCCAGCGGCGGTCCGAACAGGCTGTCAGAGCCGGACGCCGTCGAGCTCAACCTGACAGAGAGCAGGGAGGAAGGAAATCAGGGAGAGTGGAGGAAAAATGGAGGGACTGATGAGAAGGAGGCAAAGTGAGGACTGAAGTGAAGCAAGAGAGAGGAGGGAGCTGGGAGAGTTCAGGACAGCAGCGTTGGTTTCCTGCTGTGCATCTCTATAGAAGCAAAAATGTACCGTACTGTGTGCTGGAGAACTAATGGTGCCGTATCCGCTATGATCTCGTATTCCTGCAGGGTCATTTGTATTCGAACTGTGAGTTTGCAGTGGATGTCGAGTAGGGCGACCTAAATTCATCCTTCGGTATTTTATTCTTTAAATTACTCTGATGGGATGCTGAAAACATCACGTGGGATATAAACACAACAGTTCTTCATAGTGTGGTTTAAAATGCAAGGGAAAAAACATAATATTCATATTTTTAAAACAATAACGTCAGATAATTAGATACGAAAAACAACATTTACAAGAAAACTCCCTGTTAGTATGTTGATGATTAATGCAGTCTAGTGTCTAGCAGACTGTATATTATATTATTCTAACTTGTCATGATGCACCATTAGTGTGCTATAGTTTGGGAAAGACTCTTTTCTGCCACAGCGCCATAATATCCCCAAACATAAAGCCCTAAAGAAACTGGTTTGGTGTGGAAGGCTGTGAATGAGCAGAACTTCTGCGATAAAACAGATCAGCTCTTATCACCGACATCAGTGTTCAGCCTTATTAATGCTCTTTTGGCTGAATGGAAGCAAATCCCTGCAGCCGGAAGCAGAAGGCTGTTACAGCAGCAGATTAACGTCCACGGCTTTCGCTTTAGGTTCCAAACACTATTTCTCCATATAGTTTATGCATTTCCACTGGCGCTACAGTTTGTTTCTTGGTTTAGTAAAAGTGAAAATAATCTTGTCTGAGCGACAGAGGAAATGAAAAAGGAGGAAATAACAGTGAGAGAAATGAGCTGACGAAGGGAAAACTAGGAGACGGTTGAAAACAAACTGAGGACAGCCAGTCGACAGGCTGTGAGGAGAAAACCTGAAGGCCGCTGATGATGCAATTTAAATTCCAAATATGTCTCTTAGCTCCGAGACGGATAAGACGAACGAGGAAGGAGATGAAGTGAAGGGCAGAGCCGTCTCACCTGCTGTGATCGGGGCTGGAGGTGGACCTGCGGAGGCCCTCCTGCTCTGCATCTGCTAAGACACAACACACACAATGAGCCACAGAGGATGCTCCCTAATCAAGACTAATCAGCAGCAGGGTGTTCTTTGTCAGGGCGCTGAGAGGAGGCCGGGACGGGCTGAGATAAGACGACATAAGGGAAAAACCCATCAGCCATTACCTTCTTGGTGATAAATACCAGCAATTAGCCTGGTCTCACTGAGCTCCAGCCGCCGCCGCCGCCGCTGTCACTGCAGAGTAACCGCTTTAATCAGGTGCTCACCATTAATCCTGCTGCCTCTGGATTTAGGAGGGAGACTCTCCCTGCTGGAGTGCAGCAGGTTGCCGCTTCCCACATCCCTGCCCAACCTTCTGACAGCTAATGAACCTGTAGGCGGTAAAACATGTTTTGGGGCACGAGCACAGGGCCAGATGTGACTAATGGAGGGCGCCTGTTCACGCAAGGTCGGCCAATGAAGAGATTTGTTGTGAAGAGGGAAGCGGGGAGGCCGAGGAGGCTGGAGGTCGAGAGCTGCTACACAAAGGTGTTTACTGATGCTACAAACGTGGCTGTGAGAGTTTGTGGGAATTAGTTTTCACTGTTTCAGATCAAAAACAACATAACATGAAACTCTAAACCCTCATTAAAGGAGTAAATGCTGGAAGATGTAGATTATTTTTGCTGCTGCAGTATTGGTTGGTACAAATACAGAAGTAATGCCACAACTAATGATCAGTTTTACTATTGAGAGACATGCTAGTTCACAAGTATGTTCTTAACAAGCCATTGATCTTTATGTTAGAACGGCAGAAAATAGCCAAAAAAGGTCTGTGCAATGGAAAACCTCGATTTTCAATACATGTTGATTCTTTCCATACTCATTGCACAGTATTGACACACTAACACTAGCTGTGTTTTCTCGCTCGCTCTTCTCTCAGACAGCGTATCGACACGCTGCAGTCGTGTCGCCTCGCTCGCTCACTCGATCACAGCGCTGTCGTCTTCTCGTTGCTCGTCGCTCTAGTTAAACAGTATTTTATTACTGTGATAGAAAAATGGCTCCGCGACTGGTTTTAGTGGATAAAGAAAGCAGAGGGAGGGCTGGTTGGAAGAAGTTCCAACTTCATTTTTGATTAAAATGCACCTTGCTGTCTTAGAAAATCTAAACTTTTATACCTTCAATGTTGCTGCAGATTTTTCCTGTGGTATCAAAAATAGTAACTGAATACTGCAATTTATCGAGGAATCGTATCGAAGTTAGAAATGCCAGCGTCATGACAACCGTCCTGCACAGGGTCGTAACCACAATTATAAACTGCATGACAACAAAAACATAAGTTTCCTTTTATAAATGATGAGCGATTTATCAAAAAGTTTCAAGTTCATTTCCTGCAGGCTGACAAGTCCATTAATCTGCAGTGTTCCAGCTCCATAACAGACATGAGAAGAGCTTGGAGACTCACCTCTGTGGGAGGCAGCTTCACCTTCATCTAGGCGGCCTCCTGCAGTACTCGAGTTTCCTGCAGAGATGCAACAGAAAATTTAACCTATTAAGAGTGTGTAGTGCACAGCACACAGCACACTGGATATTTCCTCTTGCCTCGTGTTACAGGAAAGAGATCTGCTGCACATTAACAAGCTCCGACAATCACTCCTAAAACAGACATTCAAGCACCGATTGGATTGAACTTACTGGAGAGATGCCGCTTCGCTGACACCTGAAAGTCGGGAGAGGAAGGCAGAATGAAAAAGCGGGAATTGTTCTATAGTTTTTATTATTATCAACACATCCCATGAAGAGACCAAAATCAACAAAGCTTTAGTCTGTTTCTTGATAGTTCCCTGCTTTCCCAACCCATCTGTAGCAATCAGGCCAAACCCTGTTGATTTAATAAACAGAAAAGTATTGATTTCCTAGAATGCATTGTAGTTTTTGGGAGACACAGTGCATTTGTTGTATTTATGGCAGCAGCATAGTGTACGTAGGATTACCTCAAAATAGTTTCACATGTTCATCGTACAGAATTAAGACAACACTGTGGCTCATTGATGTGGTTTTAATAACTTATGGAAAGCAAAGTCACGGAGCACTGGCTGGTCTTTGGTTTTACAGAAATAACTCGTTAGCAGCATCAAAACTCTTGTTGTTTTAGTCTTTTCATGGGATTTGATCAAAACACGATCCTTTAATACATACAAATGCTGCTAGCAAATAACAAGAATGTGCATTTTTGTTTGTTTCTTACGTCAGATAGACCAAAACAAACAACCTGCTGCCGCGTCCCTCTGTTGGGCGGCAGGGTGAGCGTCCCCACCGTGGCCTTCAGCTCCTTCTCTGTGGCCACAGAGCTGCTGCGATTGCTGCTGGCCACCGGCCTGATCTGGATGTGGAACTTCTTCGGCTCCTCGTCATCGAAATCTGAATCACTGGAGTAGAAGTTGTTCTCCTTCTCCTCAGAGCAGCGTACAGGGAGAGAGGAAGGTCAAGGAGAACAAATCATGGTGTTTGGTAAGCATGAAAAATCTATTAGTGACGAGAAAAAGAGAAGGTCTAGGTTAAGCATGGCAAGGCTCAGGTTTTGGTGAATACTACTATTTAGACAAATACTGATTACTTTGAAGAGAAGAGATGGCATTTGGTTCACTGTAGTGATTAAATTAAAACAACAAAGACACACATGCATGCAAAACACAAGCAGAGGGTAAAGACCGCAGAGCTTCCTGGAGATGTACGACGCTGCAGAGCAGCCAAACAGCTGAGCAACCACTTCCTGCTGCAAAGCCACCTCCCCTTCCTCTTCTCCTTGGACCTGACTGTGCTGCTCATGCCTGCGTTATCTTCACCTCGAGGGTCTTTGATGAATGTGCGCTGCCGATTCTGAGCAGGCGGGGGGCTCGACAGGAGGATGACAAAGGCAGGAAGAGTTATCTCGAATCTGTCAGGACAGAGAGCTCTATCGCTGATAAATGATGAGCGCTGGAGAGTCAGGACATGGAGTATTTAAGAATTAGGACAATTAAATCATATCTGATGGTGGTGGACGGCAGGCGGCTCAGTTCAGCCTGGCTCTGCCTCGGATGCAGTTTAAGAGGGAGCAGGCAGCGCTGAGCTGCTTGTGCTAACAAACGTGAGATCTTAATAATTGTCTGGCTCTGCAGTTAATGAGGTCATGAATGCAGGCATTTGTGCTGATAAATTGGTTTAACTCCGCCTCTCACCTCCGACCTTCTGATTACGCTCCATTTAAAACGTCTCTCTCCCAGTCGGGGGTCTTCTTAGAGTCTGTTCAGTGATCTCATGACGGTTTAATTTGTTGTAAACCGTCACATGACCTGATTCAAGTCTGTGACATCTTTATGAATCTAAAAATGTGCGGGTACTCCAAGTAAAGAGACAGTACGCATCTGAAGGCACCGATTGTTGTCTTTAAAGTTGTTTATGTGACTCCGTCGTTTTCATTCAGCAGATGTCGTCTCTCACGTGTTTGTCAGGACAGAGCTCAGTCCTGTTCTCAAGATTTTCTCATTACAGCTTCAAAAATGGAAAGAGCTGCTTACTGTTCTCTGGTCACACTTGTGGTTTTTGAATCATGTTCAGACTAAGTTGGCATTTTTAAGCATTTTTGGAGGGCTTTAGTCTTATGGCCTTATTCAAGAGTCAACAGCAGAAAGATGGCAGCAATGGGACACTTAAACTAAGGACATTACGGTTCATGGTCAACGCCCTAAAATCTAGAAGACATGATGGGCATTTGATAATATTTGTTTTTATTTTAAAGAACTAAACCAGACACAATAAACAGTGTCTATTAAAGTATTCCCTGCTGCTGGAAGCTTTAAATATTTTATACAAATAATTGGATATGATACGGCTTTTTGGTGTTACAGTGAAAACAAATCTCTCCTAAATAAGCTAAAAATATTTAAAATTACAAATAAAGTGAAGCTTCCAAGAGAGAGACAGATTAAAAAAATACACTCGGTAATAAGAAAAATAAGCAGAGGGATGCAAACTGATGCAAATGGGTAACTATCCATCCATCCATCCATTATCTAACTAACAAAAGGAAAAATGGCATGAATTCAGATGCCTCCATACAGCGAACAAGGAATGGTTTGATAAGTATTAACATGATGGGATCCAAATGCTTTGGTCTTTGCAGTCACCAGTTCTCAGCCCAGCTGAACATTAATGGGGGATTTGGGGCCGACGTGTGAGACAGCCGACTGGTGTCCATGTGTTCAGCAGCACACTTCAAAAGACTTTGAAAACACACATCAAGGACCGCCAAAGCTGTTTTGAAAGCCGAATAAAGACATCAATGACGTCTTCTTTAATTCGTCACCCATCCGTATTATTTCTTAAGAAACTGAATTATGACAGAATGGTGCTCCTCGACCCCCAAACGCCTCAGCCGAACACGCGGGAGCAGAAAAAGGATATCATTCTGGGTGCTGTCAGCTCGGATGACAAATCCCTCGTCGTCGACTTCCAGGGGTGAATTCTGCATGAATGGAAACACACGGGAGAAAGAGAGTGAGGCAGACACCAGCTGGGTCGGCAGCACCGAGACAAATGGTGCATGTTTGACACACAGAAGTGCTCTGTCATGCCGTGTAACTCAGCACCTCGGCCCACATGCATGACTAAGAGCTTTCTATTAGAGTGGTTGAGCGAATGAGTGCACTCTACAAATGTTAAATACCGTCAGGCACGAGTGTCAGTGACCAACCACAGTCCTACAACTGCTCCCATCAAGAGCCCAATTAAAGTCTCATGCTGAGGGTACAAGCACACTTTAAAAACAACACTCCAAAACAATACTAACTTCATTAAAATGGACAACAACATAATAAGAGGCTGCAGAGAGACCAGAATTCAAGAAATACAGCTTAAAGCAATGCAGTTGTACGAGGGCTGATGAAAAGTTGTGATACTGTTCACTGTGCGTCTGCATGGACAGCGAGCAAACTGCGTGACACAACACCATGAACAGGAACCTAACGTACACGCTCTTTGTGCATTTGCATTTCTACATGGACTGCAAACCAGTGCAGAAAAGAAAATGTCAAATTCTGATGGTCACTCAATCATTACTGACGACGAGAAGTGGTTCTGAACTTAAAAGCAAGAGAAGAAACTGCAGTATTCATCGCAGAGGAGCCCACATTTTCCAAACCCAAGCAAGTCGCATCAGGTCAGGAGCACCAGGAGCACGCTCTTCGTCTTCTTCAACATTCATGTGGTCGTGCATCAGGAATTCACCCCCAAGGTTAAACTGTCGACGTTCATCCTGAAGTGTGTGAGGAAGCACAACAGGGGCACAAACAACCTCCAGTGCACCGTGCCTCCACTCACACTGTAGTTATTATGAGCACGTTTTTTGCCACATAAACACAATCAGCTGCCCAACTCATTAGATTTGGATCCTTGCGGCCTCTTACTCATTCCCAAAATGAATTTTGAACTTAATGGTTCACTGTTTTGACACAGATTCCTACCAAGGAGCATCATAAGCACTGCATCGCTGCACAACGAGACAGTTTCAGCGTCTATATGCGGCCAAATGTAAAACCTGCTGTTTTCAGAAATAGTCCCAGAACTTTCTGATCGCACCTTGCATCTAAATTTCATGCACAAACTTAAAGAAGCAGAAAGTTAAATCAGTATCCCATCAAGGCCTCTCGTGTGTTGAACTGGTTAATACAGAACCAGTTACATTCTGCCAGCACCTTTTATTGTGATGTTCTCTGAAGAAGGTGAATATTCTTATGCAACATGTTCTAAAGTGACCTCTGCTAGCGTTACCAGCGCCTGTCACATTACAGTCAGACACTCGATCCCCTCGGAGGTGTAAAATTGCAGCACTAGTGACTCTGTGATCTGCCGTTCACTCTCTGCCCCCACATCAGTCTGTCAGATGGCTTTCTGGCAGCATCCAAATCCCACAAACACACGTCTCACTTTTACACCACTTGCACACAGGCTGTCACAAACACAAACACACTCTCTGTCTCTCTGGTGTGGCTACGCACTTCCCCCTGTGGCTGCCAAATAATGGCAGAAATCTCTTCCCAGAAGCACCAAAATAAACCCAGGAAACCCCACACCATCGGTCACGTCACTATCACACCCTCATGGTCGACCACTCACCTTCATGTCGCAAACACACACACACACGTGTTTCCTACTATCCTCTAAACTTACACTGTTTTCATTGAGTAGAAGCCATCTAAGCTACAGTCTGCTGTATCTGGAGATTTAGGCGAAAGACAGGACTGATAATTGAGTCACTGGTTACGGTATTTGGGTGTGATTATGCCATAAACTCACCAGAGCCTCCGTCACAGCTGAATCCCTGCAAATAGAGAAAAACACACATGGGTGTTGTTTTCATTATTCAGGAACAACACAGACTGAAAGCAGCAACGAAGGGGAAAAGTCACACTTAAGCTTTAAAAGCTCAGAACTTGTAGAGCATTTTGTTTGTGTGTGTGTGTGTCTGTGTGTGTGTGTGTGTGTGTGTGTGTGTGTACATGCACACACTCACGTAGAGTCTGGCTCCTTGTCCCTCTTGCCGAGGCCGGGGATCCTGAAGGCTTTGGCCCGACTCTTTTTCCCTCCTTCAGGTGCCAAAGCTGTCATGTACTCTTCAAACCCGACCAGAGCTGCAGACAACAGGCAGTTTTACAATATAAGAAACACACACACACACACAAATAAACAGTGTCCATGTCAGCAGTTGTATGAATTATTCAGCCTTCACACTACTGTTCTGAGTGTGGGTGTCTTCATATTTTTATTGTTATGTAACTGCTGCAGTAGTACGTTTATTTCCTTCCGACTGGAAACGGGCCATAATTCACTGTACCTGGCCGGTCTTTGCCCGTGCCCTTCTGTTCGGCAAATTTCTGAATGAGGTTATCGATGCCGATGTTCTCCACGTTCTGCTTGAATTCCTCGTGGACCTGCAGCAGAGAGGAACAGAATGATCCGTTTGGTCCATGATGAAAATCGCTGTATTATTTCTAAAAACTTCTAATTTCTACCAGTGTTGTCTGACAGGATGTAACGGTGCATCTAGCTTTACCGTCCACTCTCAAAACACGACTTTTGATCTCAGGTGTACTGATGGTGTGCAGTCACATGGAAGTGTTGTGTTTCATCAGTCAACAGCAGCATTAAAACCACTGACAGGTGAAGTGAATAACACCGATCATGTGTGGATGTGGATGTTACTTTAACACGTCTCACACACCTAAACATTGCTGCAGACCGAGCACACCCTCCCTCGGGGTAACAGTACTCCACGCAGGACAAAGCTGAAGGAACAAAGAGCCCAGGGAGCAGCACCAGCCTCCAAACTACCCAGATCCCAATACAACTGAGCTTCTGTAGGATGTGTCACAACAAACTGATAAACGGAGGCCCCACCCAGCAAACCACAGGACCCAAAGAACCTGCCCCCGCCGTCCTGATGCCACACATGGCCCTACAGTTCAGAGGGGTTTAGACGACACCAGGAGGGCCTACACTGTACTAGGCTGATTGATGTAATGTACATGTCAACACGGTGCACAGAACATAAGTTGGACATAAAAATACATGCAGCTCATGTCAATTAGTACTGACACTATCATAATCATCCATCCATCCATTCACCATCTCTACACCTTAATCCTCACTAGGGTCGTGGGGGGTTGGAGTCTATCCCAGCTGACTCAGGGTGAAGGCAGGTTCACCTGGACAGGTAACCAGTCTATCACAGGGCTACACTTAGAGACAGACAACCAAGCACACTCACATTCACACCTACGGACAATTTACAATCACCAATTAACCTCAACATGTTTCTGGACTGTGGGAGGAAGCCGGAGAACCCGGAGAGAACCCACGCTGCACGGGGAGAACATGGAGACTCCACGCAGGAAGATCCCGGGTGTCCTTCACTGGGACATGAACCAGCGACCTTCGGTGCTACCAACTGCGCCACCTTGCAGCCCACTATCATAATCAGAAATATGTAAATGTTTCCACCATTCTACCTTCGATGCGCCAGCAAGGATGCCTCGTTTACTATTTAATATAACCAGCTGGGCAGCAGAAGAAGCAACTGCAAATTCTGACCAGTTTCAGCAAATGATCAAATCAAGCTTTTACTGAACACAAGTCCAAGGATGAAAGAAAAAACTGTCAGTGGTCAGCTCATAACTGACACAAGAGTATTTCTACTCTGAGGACTCCATCCCACATACTCAATGAATATAACAACAAAAACAAACGCCATGTAAACAGAGACAAGGATGCTGCTTCTGGAGAGCAAAGACAAACGCTTTGTTTCGGAGGAGATCATCAGAGGAGGATTTCACATCAGCTCCGACGTACCTGTCCCACCTGCACGTGGGTGTCTTCTATGGAGTGGGAGTAACCTTTGATCAGCTGTTTCATCTGCCGAAGATGAGCCTCCTCGATTTCCTGAAACTTCTGCTCAAACACACACACACAGACACACACACACACGCACAGAGATGATGAAGAAAACAAAAACATTTGCTGCCACGTGAAGTCCTCCAAAAAACATCCGCAGTGGGTTAATTCATCTTGTACACAACTCTCAGGTTTATTTAAAAAGCACTTTAGTTCAGCACCGTAAAAGGCACCGGGTCACACAATCCCTCTGTGGGTGGGCATTTACTGATCTGTTGCATGAATTAAATCCCTTCAAAACTCACCAAATAACATCAAAGAGTCTACTTTACAACACCGACTGATTAAGTTGATGAAAAGACAGATTTTAAATGCAGAAGCTTCAGCACATAGAACAGAAGTGCAACTTGGCAGCAATTTGCCTTTTTTTTAACCATAAATCTGCTCATTTTGTATTCATTCTTTATTATATGAGTGGGTGCACAGGTTTGATTTGTGCGTTTGTTTTTTTATGGGTCTATTTGCATTTGAGTTGGTGTGTGTTTTGTTGGTGTTTATTGCAGTGGTTGGTTTTTTTGTTGTGTTTTCGTCTCTGCATAATGCCGTGACGTGCATTCAGACAACCAGCCAGAATCCAATAAAACAGAACCTTAAAACTCCACCTATACGCAATAAAGTGAAAATAGTCTTTGAAAGAGAGCTGAGCTGCAGAGAGGCAGTCAGCCAGCAGAAGAGGCACCGAGTTGCCAGGTCATTAAACCGGCGATAATTCCAGAGGATTTAGTATTTAAGTTTGATCCCGCTCTTTATTCAGCCAGCTCATTTGTCGCTGTCTGCTTTAAAGGAATTGTCTTGATATAGTGGCTCTGGCTTTTGTTGGAGAAGTGAGCTTAGCAAGAGTTGTGGCTTTTCTCTAATCATACAGGAAAAATCTGGGCAGGGAGAGCAAACGTAAAGCACTCTGCTCTCTTCTCAGCTGCTGTCAGCCTCAGCTCTTTATTTTAGGCCGCTGCTCCAGGTTTACCTGTAAGTCTTTACATCTGCATAAGTGAAACCGCTTTCTTCCCCAAAGTCCTCGAAGCAAGACACTAAGAACAGAGTCTCAGGACGCCTTCACACCTCACCAGTTTGAACTTCCGTGTGTTAGTCTTCTTTTTTAGTTTGGCTTGTTTGCTGTCAGTTGAATTCTGGTGCAGACATTGAAAGCGACTGACGGAGAACGAAGATTTCAGTTCACTTCCAAACACACTTTGGTGCAGTGCAGCTAAAAATTTAAATAATTAGCTGATGAGCCAATTAGCTGATTGGCAAAAAAAAAAGGCAATTATTTTAATAATCTCTGCCTGCCACTTCTCAAATGTGGAAAGAATTCAGCATATAAACAGAATGCAGGTGGGGTGTAGACAGTTAGTTAAACCCGACATTTTATAGACCAAGCAAATCAAAAGTAGTGAGTCTGCCGTGCTATTTGATTTTGTTCTCTCTTTGTGAGCTATTTCTGAAAACTCAAGAACACAACTCTCAAACATAATAAGCATTTAAGTGCTGCACGAGTTGTTGTCAGTCGTCTGCATCTGATTTTCCTGCACGGGTCCGTGTTCAGTGATGATGCAGGATAACAGGTCAATGATTGATCTGTCAGTCAATAAAACTGAATGTTTCCAGTTGTTGGGTTTGGTTTTAAAAACAGGTAGTGGAAGAATCGGATCTCCTTTAGTTTTTATGTGCCTTATACTTATTCGGTCGTCCCCCACGTCGCCTTCGATCCGTTGACACGTGTTGTACCACACACTCTCCCATAATCATGACTACACCTTCCCCTTCAACGCTATCACAAGAGATAATTGGTCGCAGGGATTCCAGTCATCGTTTCAAATATAAAACACAGAAGCACTCATTGGGGTTTGTTGAAGATTTCCATGGAAACAGCAGCAGTAACCATGGAAGTGTGGAGGCAATGATTAAAGGTAATGAGCAGGGTGCAGGATGTGTCTGCAAGTGGGTGGACGTTCAGGAATTGGGGGGTTGAGGTTTTCTTTTTAGGGAAAGGCACGGTGTAGGACAACAAATGAAAAGATAAGATGGAGCTCTTGTGTGGTGGGAGGCTCTGGAAAGGGTGAGTCAGGGATGGTTTGGAGAAAGATAAAAACCCAGGAGAAGAAGAAATACATGAAACATCACATCAGAGGGCGGGAGAGACCCGGCCGGACTCGGAGCTGACCTGGGCAGACTCGCTCATCTTCTGCTCGAACTCTCCTCCCACTCGGTTGTACTTCTCGATACACAGCGCGAATGACTCCGCCGCTTTCTTAGACTTCAGCTCCGCCTAGTGAGAAGAACAGGCAAAAAAAAACAACAAGAAAAAAACAGCCTTTAGTCTTCTGACTCTCATTCACAAACATAAAAATACATTTCTGCCCCGTCATAACTGCTGCTGCTCCATTCAGTAATGCTGTTTTCACCGACGACCAAGGCAGAACAAATCAAATCTAATTATCGCTGACATCCAGGGTCGGTCAAACAGAGACTCTTGTCTTCTAAGAGCCAAAAGAGAAAAGTGTATGATGCACTTCATGGTCACACAACAGACAATAATAACACGACATCCCAGAGCTCAGTGGTGGATTCAGATGTTACAGTTTACTCTCACAACATTTATTAAACTGATCAACAGAATTAATTCCAACTTCAGAACAATTCACTGTTTTTATGGCCCCTCTGGTAAAAATCGAGTTTGTGTCTCACATGCTGGAAGATAAATAAGGAGTTAAAAATACGTCAGCTGAGGATTTCCATCTTGAAACCACACTGACCACTGCTGACAGTCTCAAAAACACGGAGGCTGAGGCTTCAAAACAAGCTAAAAGCATCTGTTCTGTCAACTTGTAGGGTGAATGTTCACAGATTAGCACAATATCATAACAGACAAAGGTGTAGAGTCGCACGTGAAGAATATTTTCATGGGAAAATAATTCAAAATGTTTACTTTTGATGAGCAGAGGTGAGTTTTTAGGGGTTGTTTTAATGCCAGGAGGGAAAAGTTTTCGTCATTTTCAAGCCCCCTCTGGTTCCAGCTGCTTTTTGTTGTGATTGTAGAATAATTGGCAAATACATCAATTTGAGGCCCGAGACATAAAGCACATGTGAACTAAAATATACTTTAAATGCAAATTTGTTTTCACAACTCGACCGCTGAATAATGGCCCAGCTTGTAGGGGTGAGAAATAATGGTAAAAGTATGAAATGTAAAGTCGACACTGTCACTACACCAACACTGAGCTCAGTCTTTTCATAGGAATATCATTTGTCAGTACATGTTTTGTAAAAATCATTTCAATTATATTTCCTGGGGGACACTGCTTTTTTTTTAAGGTAATTTTTTGTGGCCTTTTGTGCCTTTATTGGATAGTGCAGTGAAGAGCGAGACAGGAAAGTGGGGGGAGAAGAAACCCTGCAGCAAAGTGTCATGAGCTGGATTCGAACCCACTACCGCAGCGTCAGGCACTGCAGCCCCTGTACATGGGACGCCAGCTCAACCAGGCGAGCAATCACGGCGCCACACAGTTTTTAGTTCTCTAAGATAATTATTGCCTGTTCAAATCAACAAAGTTGTCCCTGACCTTCTCCAGCTCTTTCTGCGGTGCTCCCTCCTTCCTGAGCCGGTCCAGCTCCACACACTTGGCGTGGTAACCTTCCTTGGACTTCTGAAGGTGACCGCTCTGGACCTGCAGCGCCTGCACCGCCTCCACCGTGCCCACCATCTCCTCTTTCGTCTGTTTGATCGGCGCACACACACATACATGTACAGATCATCAATGCACTTGACACTTTAAGGGCAAATGCAGCAATTACCATGAAGGAGAAGGACAGTAATTGGATTTTCTGTGGGATAAATTCGATTAGGATGATCGAGGCTCAACGCAGGGCAGGCAGCGGGGAAAAAAAAGCATACAAGTCCGCTGCATCATGACAGACAGACACAAACATCAGCCAGTTTTCTGTCAGGACAGCAGTAAAACGTATCATCTAATCGCGGACACGTACCTTACGGTGAATTTTGACCTGCTCGTCGCCGTACTTGTTAATGTCGCGGATGAGATCGTTCATCTTCTTCATCAGCTCGAGGTGGCAGAGGGCCAGTTTGTCTGAAGACACCCTGAACACATCCCACATGGGAGCAAAAGTCCTGGAAAATGCACGGACAATTAAGCACACACATGAGACTGCTGGGTTCCTACATATTACAGAAAACAACAGCAAAGCTTGTTTGAGCGCTGGCAGTCAGTTAAATGTTATCATGACCAGATTCGCTTTAAGTAAGAGTAACCACATCCGCATTTGTGAGTTAGTAAAGTTAAATGTGCAGTCCTTTTACTACACAAACGGATCCTGTGTACATTATAACAGAAGTTATTGAGAGAAAAATCTACTAATTCTCTCCTCTAAACTGTGAGAAACCTGTGAACTATCAGTGATGTTCACGAAAACAATGTTCCTCCAATCAGGACAACACAACAAAAATACAAAAATCAGCAGTGGATTGTATATAGATCTGGTCAGAAGTGTTGCAGCCAGTTTTTTACGTCACCCCAACAAGGTGAGATGTTGAACCCATGAAACCCAAAACAAGACTTTTTGCTGTTGTTAAGTTGCTCTTTAGTAAATGTGAAAACTCATAAAAACTTGTCAGAGCACACCAGTGCAAGGACCCTATTGAAACCCTTGGGTTTACTCTTATTTTTCCGCCAGAAGAAATGCATTTTCGAGGGGCCTAAACATGCCCAAAAACTGACCAAAATCGCCACGCTCATCAGGACTGGCAAACATTTTTAGATTTTTAAAGGACTTGGACATGTCACTGCCAAAATGGCTCCACAGCGCCCCCTTGACAATTTCAGCAGAGTACCATCGGGACAAATTTTCACGTGGAGTTACGAAATTCGGTGCACATACGTAGCAGCTTGGGACGCACAAAAACATCAACTTGGACTTTTCCGTAAACCCAACAGGAAATCAGCCAGTTTGAAAAAACGGCTGATTACGGCCGATTTTCGCTCATTTTCACAAATTTGTGGCCATTTTCAAAATCTATCTCCTCCTCGGAGGAAACTTGTACAAACCTGAAACTTGCCCAGCACAAACTACAGGAGGTGATAATTAAAAGATATTAAAACGCTCCACAAAAGTCTGACAGCGTGGAAATGGCGGCCTGTAGAATTTCGCCGAAACATCATCAATCGCCTAAAACGGGACGTGCTGTACGTGCTCCGATTTGCCTGAAACTCTACTTGCATGCGGAGTCTCAGCCAGAACGCAGTGCCACCACGGCCCGCCATAAAACAGGAAGTGCTGTATAACGAGGCCACACGTGCTCCAATCTGCCCAAAATTCGACACGCCAGATCAGAGCGCCACCCGGAGTTCTGCCAAACCCTGACGTGCGTGAAGGCCGACAATCATACAGTGAGGACCCGTCCATCGCCGCTTGCGGCTTTAATTTTTATGTTTTCCTGTGACATAAAGCAGTAAAAAGAGCTCCACACAGCCCGTCTGTTTTCTTTGAGACCAGGTGGGTGCGTTTTGATCAGATTTGAGTGAAAATGACCAAACAACCACCTCCTCTAATCAGATTCTAATAATGGTACTGAAACCTGATTAGAACATGATTTTCCAGCTGAGCCCCAAACCCAGGAGAAGAGCACAAACCAAACATAAATACAGAAAAACACAAACCTCACTCTGGCAGAAACTCATGTTCAAGAGAAAATCTCTTTAATGAGTCGTTCTGCCCTCATCTGAAGGAATCAGTCGGTCCTATTTGTTGCTCTTGTCCTACTTTTCCTTACTATGAATATAAATAAGTGCCTGTCTCTGTGTACAGATATAAAAGCTGTCATGTAGTATGCAACGTGTAACACAAACCATATAGACTGAACGGCAGAAGCAGCACTATGCTGATCATAAATATGGACATTTGGTGATGCAGATGGTGCTCATCCATATCTCATATGGAGCCATATGACCATTACATGGATAATGACAAAAACAACACCTCCTGGGGAATAAATTCTTCTGTAAAGCACTGAAGGGGGAGGACTGTTGCCATGACATTGATAGCTGTACCGTCAGACACACTCACCCCTGTGGACTTCCGTTGCTGGCCATTTTAGCCAGTTTGTTCATTGATTTGGAGTAAGTCTCTTCAATGGCAGCCCTGCAATAACAAACAGACAAAAGCATATAAATACAAGCAGAGAGACTGAGGCGGTAACGCTGATTCAGGGGAGCCCAGGGGAAACCGGAAAACTACAGATACACAAGTTTCAGAGTGTGCATGCGGTCAGCAGATTCTTCTCGCTGGTTCCCTGCTGAAGTCGAAGCTGCCAATAACACGCCAGGAAGACTAATGTTGTGTGAATCCCCTGAAATGTAAATTCTTTTAAACAGCCTTTAGACTGGTGAACATAATGTACTCCAACAGCACTTCCTCACAACGCTATTGCTTCAGCTAATGGCCTCATATGTTACGTTCGCTATCTGGCGTTTACTTTGGCCCGAACACTGGGCATCCACCTCCCGAGTCAGAGTCTGCGAGATAAAGATTAATTTCCAACAGTGTCGGGTAAATGTTGCAATGAGCAACATTTAAATGATAAATAGACGCGTTTCACGAGGCCGGCCATGAAACTTTAATAACCATCTGTAGACCCTGAAGAGAAAGAAAGAGGGAGCATTGATCCAAACATCCTGAGGGTGAACAGAACAACTTGCAGCTAAGAACAGAGTCATAAACAAACTGACAAACCCACTGCTGTTGATCTGAGGCTGAGGTCGTGTTGAGGATCAAACTGTGTCACAAGGACGGCTGAGAATTACTCATATATTCACTTGTTCTGATCATTCTGTGCATCTGTCTGATACTTTTCATTCAGTTAATTAGTTTGATGACCTATTTGTCGACACCCAAAGGTATTGATGGGAAAGAATAATGGGTTTGTCACCAGGTAACTTTTCTTGACTTGAAAAAGATCCTGATTTCCTGTTTGAATACAAAATGAGTGAGAGCGCCTGCAGACTGACTTCCTCCCACAAACGTATCCCTCTAACAGTGCTGTGGATTGACAATATTTTGATCCCCATTCAGTCTTTGACAGGTCAAAATGGCAAAAAAAGAAAATCTATTAATCTACATTTATCCATTTGGCAGAAGCTTTTGTCCAAACTGACGTACAAATGAGGCGCAATTCAAGCCGATCAAGTCTTCAAGAAGGAAAACCTCAACACTTATTTAAAAACGAGTAGGATGAAGAGAGAAAGGGGATATTAGGTGAGCACATACTCTCAGAAGAGATCTTTAAGTAGTTTTGGATAATAGGAAGAGATTCTGCTGTGTCTGAATTAAGTTTAAATTTAGACTGACATTTCCTGCCTCTTAGAAACGGTCCGACTATCCCTCATTCATGTGCAGATCCTGTTAAACGAGAGCTCTTCGACTCTGTAGGTGAACATTAGCGGCTTGAACTTCACGGTGGAGAGTAATGGAGTAAAATGAGGTGGGACCATTTGCGTAAGTGTTACGGTGCATGCTGGCAGACTCGAACAACACTTCCAGAGCCTCTGTAGTTGTTTTCAGGAACCTTGCAACTAATTTTGACGAGCCCATAATTGGGATCACTGTATAGCCAAAGGGTTTTACAC